CAGCTAATAAACAACAATGATTTTTTTTCTCACTTTGATAAATTAACGTTGGTTTTTATTTTAAAAACTAAAGAAAAAAAAAGACAGTTTACCTGGAATATCATAATAATATAGTAAAGTATGTAAAACAGGATTAATTCTTTCAGAACAGCTTTCCATACAGAACCTCTCCATTGGAAAAGCAGTGTAGAAAATTCTTCGGTATATGTTATAGTCATTTTTGTTGTAAATTTTTACTGTTGGTCTTCTGATGTGGTACAGTCCAAGCTGTCTAAGAAGGGCTACAATAAAGAGCGAACAGTTTGAGAAGTTGCAACGTTCAATAACTAAAAAATAAAACAATTACATTTAATGAAAAACTGTTCAAGGAAGAACCAGAAAACTGCTGCTTTCTTTTTTTCAAGCGTTTATGGCGACAATGTTATTCAACAACAAAAATTTGCTCAACTACTGCCCGATTAACTTTTTTTGAATATAAAAAATTTGAACAAAAAATTTTTTTGCAAATACATTTTTATGGATGAATAGTGAACAACCAAACAGCAGTGTGTACTAATATATTATTGGAAAAAGTAACTTTTTGTTTGACAGTAAGCTGAATAAGTGAATGTTTTTTTTTTTAAACTGGTATTTGTGTACAGTTTTAGTTTCCTGTATAATAGAGGTTAAGTAAGGAGGGAAAAAAGTCGAGATCAGATAACTATTTTCATTGGTAAATGTTATACTTCTAATCAGCAAACTTATTTGTAACACTTTTAAAATGCACACTAAAAAACCATTCAGGTTAAACTTTTATTTTTTCCCAAAACCATTTATACGTCTTTACTTACCAGGAAAAAAACTGTCGTAAACTGTTCATATTTTTTCCTATCACATGTCTTATTTTTACAACCTGTTACAAGGACCAGAAACTGTAAAACAGATGGACAACAACAAACAATGGACAACAACAAACAATATAAACAAACAACAACGATATTCTTCATTGATTCTTCCAGGAAGCTGTCACGTTTAATCAGCAATAGTATCCTACATTTAACACCAATTATACATTTATGTTTATTTCTTCTTTATTAAAAATATTAAAAAAAAAAGAAGAATATTTTGCTCTTATTTGCTTTTGTTTTTGAGTTACGAAAAAGCATTTGTTTAAGTTAGTGAAAGAATTAGAGAACTGGAGAAGGAACTAGTAACCAAATAAATCTTCAGTTGTTCTTCAAATTGATTTTACATTCCAACAGTAACAACACATTCTAAGCAATACATTTAATAATTGTTTTTTTACTAAACCAGATTACAAATTTATTAATATATTAAAGCAAATAAATAAAGTTTTTCTTCTCTTTTAAAAATTCATCTTCAACCGCCTTGTTTTGACTGAATAAATGAAGAGTAATTTCTAAAGAAAAGCTGTAATCCATAAACAACAAACAACGTATCCGATTCTGTTAAAGTTCTACTTTTTTTTTTATACTTCTAATCGCCTATCATCTATTGCTTATACCTCAATAAATCAACTAAAATAAAAGTTTAGATGAATAAGTTCTATAGAAAAAAAAGTACATAGTCATATGAAGACTAATCAAAATAAAATCATTACAGAAAAAAGTGTGACTAATGTCAATCTATGCATTAACCAATTCCTGAACTACAGATCATATATAGCACTAAATGTTCTGAACTGTCAACAACTATCACAAATAATCGACTATAATAAGCGGCGATTCGATAACCATCGAAAAGAGAGATGGATAATTGCGACTCGCTATAATGCTGTGCTGCCGGGCTAAAAATAGAGCTATTTGGCTGCGATCCGCTGCGCTATGAGCGATTGTTCAGACTGAGTTTTCTACAGATTCCACAAAACTTGCAGTCAGTCCGATTGCCTCTTTCTTTTCTCTCATTTTTTTTCCTTTTTTTTTTGTCTTCATCTTCCACTTTTATCAATTTCTACTTTACCATTTATTAATGTTCTTGACAAATGCGGAAAAAAACTTCTTTTTCTTCTGAAATTATTTCATTACATCAACCATAATTTTTGTACTGTCATTTTCCAAATGTTAGCTTCCGACTCATTTGGAACTGTTGTTTTTCAACTGATTTGTTTTACCAAATTGAGGTATCTTTGCTGTTAGGGTACAGGAAAAAAAAAAGAAACTACAGAAGCATAAGTTTGCCAGTTTACAGAGGACAGTTGATGTGTGATGGACAAAAAAGAAAGGAGAAGAAAGAGAACGATGAAACCGAAAGCTGACTCAGACGGTGACTGACAACTGTTCGCTGTTTGTAGTTCAGTTGATGTCAAAAACTTTGCTTTCGGAAACTTAGTATCACCTGTTTTGCTTTGCTTTTTTTTTTCCCCTACCCCCCTTCCCGCACTCTAATCACTCTCCTTCGCTTGTTTGAACGTTCAGGTTTGCAACTAAATATGGTATCATTTTTTTTTTTTTTTTTTGGTGAATTGATGTGAAAAAAAAAAGGTGAAACGATTGCTGCAATTGACAAGAATGATAGAATAGATTGGCATACGGCTTTCAGAGCAGTGCCAAATATGGTTCACTGGTTTTTTTTCTTAGCGGTAGAGCAGGAAAGTAAAAAATAGAAATAAGTATTGGACATGTTGCATTTTAAACCAAAATCAACTCAGGTAAATACAAAATGGTCTTTTTTTTTTCTTTGAAAACAGCTTAACTATTATGATGGTTTACCACTACGTAAAGCCAATAATTGAAACATATTACCGTTAAAAAGTTTTTATTTTTCTTTTTTTTTGCTTTAAATATTTTCTTCTAATATTTAGAATTGTACATTTATTGTATACTAAAATTTGACTGTAAATCAAACATACACTAATATAATAAAAAAATTGCAAAAAAAAACATGTTGTGTTTTGTGATTACATTGCAGAAAAATTAGTAAAAATTATGACTTTTGTACAGAGTTTTATGATGTTAAGAAAAGGAAAGATGTTTTTTTATTTTCTTTTCTTACTGTTTTTGTTGTTTCAGCTGTTTATTTGTTGATTTGTTTACTTACTGTAAATTTTGATGCTGTCATGGAAAATAGATGGGAATCATGACATGTTATTTTTACCATTGACTGTTCACAGATATTTTGCATCAACAGATCATTGACCTTTTCATTTAGGTAAAACTATTTGTACACTGTTACTTCAGTTAAAGAATAAGCAGCAAAAAAAGAGAAGGAAAAGTATCCTCAACTTTTGTTGAGAAAAAAAAAAAAAAGAAAAAAGCAGTTGTTGAATAAAAAAAATGGAAAAAGGTAGCAAGAAATTTTAGTTTTTTCTCTTCTCTTCTACAAACATATTTTTTTTT